TGTGAAATTCTAACGGGCTTGCGGTAAATGGTGGACCGTTTTACCGTAAAACGTCAGTATTATCATGTTTGCGGGGTTATTAAACGGGGAAATGTTGACAGTGACGTTGATTTATGTGGTAAAAATTCATGTGCATGTTGTGATAATCGAATATAAATATATATATATATATATACATACATATATAGTTTCATGTTTTATTATTAAAACAATGTAATGTATGAAGCTGAATTTGAATCGCTCTTTTCGTTACAGTAACTCATGCAATAATTAAACCTGTGCATGAGTATGACATGGTCGTGTCAGTGCCAATCAATAAACGTAGGGTCTAATCTTTGACTATCATGTGATAATAATTTTTACCTATTTAAACTCACCAAAGCATACTGGTACATACACCAACTCAGTCGTCTCATGTTATGACTTTCGCAATGTAAAATAAATGAGTAAAAGTACTTGGCAGCGGTGGGATTCGAACCCACGCCTCCGAAGAGACTGGTGCCTAAAACCAGCGCCTTAGACCGCTCGGCCACGCTACCAATTTGTAAGATCTTCTCTAAATTCACACCAGATCCCGCAACCGAAAATTTACGTGAGTGAATCATATCTTTAATTTAATAGAGCAGAAGTTTTTTAATTTAATAACGCTTTAATCCAAATTCTAAATGTCTTATTTGTCTCGATGCAAGTATTGAGGCATTGAAACGTCAAATGGAAATGCTACTACAATCCATTCGTTTCATAATTTAAGGAAAAGAAACGTTAAAATGACAGATAAAAAATAACAATAAGCTTCCAGCGTACTACGAAAATAACGAGTTGGACTTTTAACAAAATCATTTCCGAATAAAAAAGTCACAGTGAATTTATAATTACCCGAAGAAAATAGAAATTCAAACTATAATCGTGGCGATTACTGTATCTCTCCCTTCCTCTCGGGTTCACTCTCTTCCCGCCCTTACCCGCAAATGCCTCGTTAATACCGCCAGACCCACCCCGCTCCCGCCTGCTCCTTCCATGTCTCTACCTCAATGTCCCCCCATGTCGCTACGCACTCACGAATGATTCCATTAACATACATTATATTATACATACTCTTTTCACATTTCTACGACTGTAAGAAACGGGAGCGCCGACAATGTTGGCGAATATCGATCAGTAAAACTTCAGTCACTGCCAGAAAGTTTTCGACCTTTCGAATATTATTTCTCCAAACATTTCTATACGATAACTTAGGGGGGCGACAGTTATTTTCGCGACGAGTGATTGGATCATTTTAATTATATGGGAACCGGGAAATACCCGATACATTTTCATTTTTCGTAATTCGGGAATAGTGGAAAGATTTCGGAAAAGTCTATCGTGACGCGGGAAAGCCGTAATTTCTCCGTAAATTCAACCGGCAACTGGGAATTGGCATATTTGCCAGGGAAATTTGGAGTGGACCCCCTTCGTCGTTGCCACTTCTAAGCTGTTTGGAATTCGTCGGCTCGGGATTGAGAAGCGTGGAGTTAGTTCGTGCCATGCAGGTCGTCATGTATTGTATGACATGGTTGGGGGGTCCATTCTAAGTGTCCCGAGTTAAATGGCAATTAATTTATGCCAATGATATGGCAATAAAATGTCAAAAATATGTCATTTCTCAGTTCCCGGTTATGTGAAATCGCGCATTTCGGCTTTCGCGCGTCCCGATTGATTTCTATTCCCGAAGCACTATAATTTTTCCGACATTTCCCGGTTCGCATGCAGATAATTAAAATGGTCCAATCTCGCGTCTGGAAAATAACCGTAACCCCCCTACCCCACACCACACCCCCACCCACCTACATACACACACGCGCACTCACGCGCGCACCATTCATAATACGTCACGGCCGTAAACGTGACGTATAATACGTAGCGCGTGCGTTACGTCGTTGCGTGAGTGTTGAGGTGCGCAACTCGGGACTCCGTGCAGTGTAACCTGTGCGCTGCGGGGCCGCGCTGGATCGTCTGTCACGTTGTTAGCAGACTGTCCTCGACGCGACGGCGAAACAAAGTGAATTCCGCACGAACGAGCGCGTTGTTCGAACTCTCGCGAATTCGTTGTTTTAACCTTAGCGCAACCTTGGGCGCTGGTCGTAAACACGGTACCGGCACATTGAAAGTCGAGCGATCTCTGTGGCTTGCGTGTCTCATCGTGCCCGCGTACGTGCGTCTACGTGTGTTGCGCGTTAGCGTGTGCGTGCGTGCGCGAGAGTGCGTTCATGCAGGTGTACGCACGTGCGTGCGTGCATGCGCTCGTGTGTGTGCACGTGCGCGCGCGTGCGTGTGTGCGTAAATAACAGATAACCAATCCCGCGTATATGCTAGAGCAGACGCTTGCCAAGGCACGTCTTGTATTCCTCCGCGCGTGCGCGAAGTAGTGCTATACTGCGTTCTCTCTGTTGATCGTCCGTTAATCCCATCCCTACGCTCAACCAGTCTCCCACTCCTTTCCCCATCCCTACCCCTACCCCTACTCCAAATCCCACGCCCACCTCTCCTACCACCCCAACCCCGACCCCTACTCCACCCCCTATGCCCAGTCCTATCCCTACTCCAACCTCTACGCCCAGCCCCACCTCTAGCCGACTCCGTAGCTGCAGCGACGGCCACTGCGTCGACTGCACGGATAGCGGGAGACTCTTGTGTAGCGGTGACATGAGTGCAGGAGACACGCATGTTCGCTCATCACCATGGGATGGGCTTCTCCGTGTGGGGTTACAGTGCGCTGTTCCACGTTCGCACTTTCTCCACTTTGCGCGGCGGTTTTGGAACCACACCTACGGAATGAAAGAAAGACGCAGAAGAATGAATCAAGCGTATAGTAGCAGCGTATACTGCGAATGAGGATTGCAATGCTATCATCTCGTTCCTCTCTCCCTAACCGTCTTCCACTCAGCAGGCGTCATTTTTGTTCACACCCTAACTTCCCCCTCCCTCCCTCCGACCGTACCTCATCCTAACATTCTGTCCTACCCAAACAGCTTTATCTTCCTCTAACTGTTCTCCATTGACCCTAACCACCATTCCTCTCCCAAACGACCGTCGATCATCTTTCTCAACTGTCCAACTGTGCACAACTGTCCTTCCCCAACTATCCTTTCTCAACTGTCCTGTGCGCATTCAGCATAGACTTCCCGCTTATTACTTATTACTTATCTTTGCGTCTCTACTGCCCACGTGCAGAAGTCTATCGTCTAGCTCTATTCACGCCCTTGATGTTGCATATGTATACTTGTCATCCTCGTGTATGTAATTTTGCACTAGTTAGACAGACCCAGGTTGATTGAACGCAGAGGGAACATCAGGGTTCATATCCTAGTTTCCGGTTAAAGAAATTCAGGGCTTTCCCGCGTCCCGGTTGACCTATATTCACGAATCACGAAAAATGTATCAGTTATTTCCCGGTTCCTAGATAATTAAAATAGTCTAATCGCGCGTCCCGAAAATAACCGTTCCCGTTTCTAGACTGACTCCGATAGATAGACTACGACCCGTATTGCTATTATACGATCAAGAGATAATAATACACTTTATATTATTAGCTCTTGATGATATCTATGATCTTCCCGTGAGCACTTGCGCGCCGCGAACAATAAAAAACGCCGCCGCGCCGCCACGCCGCCACGCCGCCATATTTGTCGTCTAAATGATTCTTTATCGCGAAATACCTGCAGACGTCGCAGGTGAGACGCGTGTCCGATGTTTACCTTCGCCCCCGACATGCTTATTTACCTGTTTGTCTACGTAAGTACTTACGACCGGGAGCGCACGCGTAGCAGAGAACTGGCGCGTGTATCGCTTTATCTAAATATTCAGTAATACCACCTCGA